CAGCTCTTCAGCTCAAGGCTAGTGCTCTACCACTTGAGCCACAGCACCACTTCCGGCTTTTTTCTTTTTGCTTATGTGGTGCTGAAGAATCAAACTCAGGGCCTTAAGCATGCAAGGCAAGCGCTCTACCACTGAGCCACCTTCCCAGCCCTCATATTCTCAACTCTCATCCTTCCCCCAAAACACAAACACTGAGAATAGGAGCAGAAAGCAGGCATATCATTATACTGGGGTGGAACCTGGGAAGCCACACTCCAGAACATGCCAGAAGGCTGGATCTCAACTCCTTTGTCCCAACAGAGCCCTTGCAACCTGAGTTCCAGGTTCTGCCCACACAGAAGGCACAGTATCTAAGAAGAAGGCCTCAGGCCATCTCACCCCATCCCCAGAAGGGCGGCGATTCAGAAGAACCCTTCTTTTGTCTTTGAAGATGGTTGATAAAGAGGCAATATGGGCCAAGAGTGAGGAGGCCAGTCCACCTTTGCTTAGTCCTTACCCACAAACCTGAAAATAAAAATGTGACTTGGCAGGTACTAGGGAAAGATTGTTGGGGGAAAAAAATCTCCAAATAACAGGACAGAAATGCAATGTTGGCCATTTATTTATTTATTATGTATGTATGTATTTATGTATGCATGTATATATGTACTTATTTATTTATTTTGGGTCCGGTCATGGGACCTTGAACTCTGGGCCTGGGCGCTGTCCCTCAGCTCTTCAGCTCAAGGCTAGCGCTCTACCACTTGAGCCACAGCGCCACTTCCGGCTTTTTCCTTTTTGCTTATGTGGTGCTGAGGAATCGAACCCAGGGCCTCAGACATGCAAGGCAAGCGCTCTACCACTGAGCCACCTTCCCAGCCCTATTATGTATTTATTTATATGCAATGTCTCACTATATAATTGGAACTGGCCTTGAATCCTAGATCCTCCAGACTATGCCAGATCTCATGGTTTGAGGAAGACTGAATGAGTCATTCCCCCAAAGATAAATAAGAAGCCATTGATCACAGAGGAAACAAAATAGCTGTTTCAAAGAATGAAAGATTGTTAAGATTCAATTTAGTCTCCCTAGAGATATATAAAGACAGGGAAGCATGAAACTGCAGAGTCCTGTGAAGAAAGGTTAGTAAGACATCATAAGAGCAGCAGTCTATAGAAGATAAGCAAAAATCCAAAGGAGATTTCTTTCAGATATGTAAGAGGTCAAAAGCAAAATGATGAGTCCAAGAAGTCAACCTCTATCTAGTAGAAAAATTTTAAAGAATAGAAAAATGTACAGAAAAGGGAAGAAAAAAATTAACTTTTCTAGAGCTGAGACATAACAATCTTCATATCAAAAAGGCATCACAGATATGAAACAGAAATTCTATCTAGCTACCTATTTATCCATCCATCCTCAGAAGTATATCCTTGTGAAGTTTCAGAACAAATGCTAAAACTTTCAAACAGAAAAATCATGTTGTCTGTACAGGAATAAGAGTCAGAATAGACGAGAACTAATAGAACTTAGTACTAGTGCCATGAAGTGTCATCATGGAGAAAGACTGAATTAATAGTTTCTTTCCTAGAATGGATTAAGGGTACCTTGTCAATTTGAGGTGCCAGTAAATATTCCTGAGGATACACCACTGGAGATCAGATGGAACAAATCAGTCCTTGCTTACTCTTCAACAAAGAGGGGTGTAGCCCACAGAGATGCAGTAACCCTGAGTGCCTTCAAAATTAAGAGGGAAATTGTTTTGAATCTAGAATTCTATGCTCAAATTATTAAACAGATGTCAAGGGGAAAAAAGAGTTTCCAAATTTATCTTCCAAATGATCTTAGGAACATTCTATAACCAGATACTAATTTTTTTTGAACAATCTAAGAAAAAGGAAGAAATGGAACAAAGAAAGTATAGATTTAATTTCATGACAAATTCTGGAACAAGAGCTCTATATAAAACTAGGAAAAGTCTAGAAATCAGAGACAAGGACTTTGAAGATCCCTGACATGAACACTGATGTTCTTAACACAGGCAAACCCACACTGCTGGCCAACAAGAAATCAAGCTTACTAGAAGTGCCAGAGAAACAAATAAAAAGCTGTAAAAAAAAAATCCTGGACTAAATATAAATCAAACTGAAAATAGGAATTTTCACCAAAATAAAATATAATAATAAAATATAATAATAAAATATAATAATAATCATCTACCTCATCTGTCACTTATTCAAGATTTTCTTTTTTTTTTAGTTTATTTTTTTTTGGGTCCGGTCATGGGGCCTGAACTCTGGGCCTGGGTACTGTCTCTCAGCTCTTCAGCTCAAGGCTAGCACTCTACCACTTGAGCCACAGCGCCACTTCCGGCTTATTTTTTTCTGCTTATGTGGTGCTGAGGAATCGAACCCAGGGCCTCATGCATGCAAGGCAAGCGCTGTACCACTGAGCCACCTTCCCAGCCCATTATTCAAGATTTTCCAGTGGAGAGTTTGGCGACTACTGGTTGCATTTATGCCTCATCTGATGCAAGAACCATCATATTGCTAAAAATTACTATTGGTTAATGTTTGCTTTTTTCAGATAACCCCTAGAATATGGAAGACATAATATAGAACATAATTAAAGGTAATAGTCTTCACTAAATAAAAATAATAATAAAGCTGGGGGAGGGTGCATAACACAAGAACTGAAGCCATGAACTGGAACCAGGACCTGGGTTCAAATCCCATGTATCTACTTCCTTGAACTTAGATAAATGATATTCTCTGGGGTACAATTTTCTCATTTCTAGGTATGTGGGAAGTAACTATAAACTCCCCATATGGCATTTTAATAAGGAGTCCATGAGTTGCTATTTGTAAATTGTTTAGACCAGTGCCGCGTTCATTCATAGTGCAGAGTGGATGTTAAGTCGCCTGTGGAATTTGGAAGGCAAAGGAGAAGAGGGGTAGAAAGAAATGTAAGGACACAATGTTCCACATAATTTAGGGATCAAGCTGCAAAGAATATAAAGTTGATAGATGAAGAAAAAGAGGCCAATGTTTAATATTTCAAGACATAAAAGTAACCTCTAAGAGAACTACAAATAAAATAATCAAAGAAAGAGGGATGTGCTGGGGAAAGGGAGCTGAATTCCTTGTCACTCCTGAGTCAACAGGTACAGGATAAAAGTGATAACAAAAAGGACCTGGCTCAAGCAGTGAAGTACCTCCTCACCAAATGTGTCAACCACTAGGATTATCACAAATCACAAAAGTAACAAAAAACAACCTAAGTACAAAGCTCAGTGACAATCATCAGAACCAAAAGCAAATGGTTAAGAAATGGGATGGGATGGCACCAGTGGCTCACGCCTGTAATCCTAGCTACTCAGGAGGCTGAGATCTGAGGATCACAGTTCAAAGCCAGCCCAGGCAGAAAAGTCCGTGAGACTCTTATCCCCAGTAAACCACCAAAAAACTGGAAGTGGCACTGTGGCTCAAGGGGTAGAGTGCTAGCCTTGAGCTGAAGAGCCGAGGGACAGCACCCAGGCCGAGTTAAGTCCCATGACCAACAACAACAACAAACAACAAAAGTGTCTAAGATGGCTAGGTGCTGGTGGCTCACACCTGTAATCCTACTACTCAGGAGGCTGAGATTGGAGGTTTTCAACTCAAAGCCAGCCCAGGCAGAAAAGTCTGTGAGACTCATATCTCCAATAAGCTACTCAGAACAAGCTAGAAGTGGTGCTGTGGCTCAAGTGGTAGAGCACTAGCCTTGAGCACAAAGAGACTTCCTAGCCCCTGAGTTCAAGCCACAGCATGGGCATAAATAAATAAATAAATAAAGTATCTAAGACTTAGGGACTCAAGGCACTTGATTACTTGGTGTCACCCCTTCCCCATCTCATACACCCCACGAACTGCCAACTAAACCTGCAGGTTGAACATCTCTCAGCAGCCTCCAATCTTTTTTTTCCTTCCTGGGAAGTTGGCTTCATCACTCTACAAGGTCTCCAGTGACCCATAGGAAACCCAGGCACTCTCTCTGACCTTGCTTTAGTCCATCTCCCTGCAGACCTTGGCTGGGCCACCTTCCTATTAAAGGTATCTCCCCTCTTGGCATCCTGCTCCATTTTCTTTCTTCCACACTGGCCCATCGTGTGTTATTTAGCTGAGTGTCCTTCCAGTTCTGACATGTATCTATTGTTCCTGCTCTTAGACACACTTTCTTTTTATCCTATTATTAGTGAGTGAGTGAGTGAGTGTGTGTGTGTGTGTGTAAGTTCTTGGTCTTGATCTCAAGGTCTGGGCACTATCCTTTAGCTTTTTTTTTTTTAATTGTGAACAACCGTGTAGAGGGGTTACAATTACATGGGCAAGATAATGATTACATTTCTTAAAGCATTGTTGCCTCCTCCTTTAGCTTTTTTATTCAAGACTGCTATTCTACCACTTGACCCACAGCTTCACTTCATTCGTTTTTGTTGTTGTTGTTGTTTCTGGTTAAGTGGAGATAAAAGTTTCTGGGGTTTGTCTGCCTGGGCTAGATTTGAACCTTGACCCTCAAATCTCAGCCTTCTAAGTAGCTAGGGTTATAGTCATGAGCCACTGGCAGCCAGACCCATAAATTATTACAAGATTAAAAATAAATACATGGAAAATAAAATGACCCATGATAGCTGGGTGCCGGTGGCTCACGCCTGTAATCCTACTCAGGAGGCTGAGATCTGAGGATCACAGTTTAAAGCCAACCCGGGCAGGAATGTCCATGAGACTCTTATCTCCAATAAGCTACTCAGAAAAAGCCAGAAGTGGCATTGTGGCTCAGGTGGTAGAACACTAGCCTTGAGCACAGAGAGGCCCAGAGACAGAGTCCAGGCCCAAGGTTGAAGCCCCAGAACTGACCAAAACAAAAAACAAAAACAAAACTCATGATCCCTCTACCAAGATGGCCTCTGTCAACCCTACAGAAATAAGAAGCAAACAAAACAAAGGGAGCATCTTATTTCTATACAGGTTGGAATATTCAGAAAACATCACATGATCACAGGTATACCCACACTGATATTGTAACAATTATGAGCCTTCTCATTCCTTTTTTGTCCCACATTCTACAGCCTTGACCTTGATCTATCAGTTCTGCCTCCCTACTTCATCCAGTTCCCTCCTCACCCCCAGCAGCCTGCTCATTTCTTTTTTTTTTTGGGTCGGTCGTGGGGCTTGAACTCTGGGCCTGGGCGCTGTCCCTCAGCTCTTCAGCTCAAGGCGAGCGCTCTACCACTTGAGCTACAGCGCCACTTCCGGTTTTCTGGTGGTTTATTGGAGATAGGAGTCTCACGGTCTCTCCTGCCCAGGGTGGCTTTGAACCACGATCCTCAGATCTCAGCCTCCTGAGTAGCTAGGATTACAGGCGTGAGCCACCAGTGCCCGGCAGCCTGCTCATTTCTTACCCAGACAATTCTAGCAGTTTCCTTCCACCCTCCTCCCTTGCCCACCTATACCTATTTCCCCAGCTTGTACAAAGAAGCCCATATACAGCTCCAGCCTCCTTTTTGCATTTCTATGATGTGCCTGTGCTACACACATGAGATTCACAGTGCTCTCACTCATCTACTTTTTCTATCTCTGTCTCATGAAGAGGACATAGGACACAGGGAAGGAGCTGACTCCATCCCACTCACCACCAGATCCTAGCACCAACTCCACATTGGTTAGATGAATTGGGCTAAGTGATGTCTTACAACTCAGTCTTCATCTGCAAAGTAGCTACTTTCCCCTAGTTTGCAGGTGAGGAAGCTGAAGTTCAGAAAGTTTAAGTCACACTCACCAATGGGATGAGGAGTAGTCCAAGATTCTTCTTTTTTTTTTTTTCTCTTTCTCTTACTCTACCTCCCCCCAGTGGTTCTTACCATGTAGGCCACAGAAGCCAGTTCATAAATGATAGCCTGGGCTCCCAGCTCCGTCACGTTAATGAGTCCTGAAACATCAGCAGACACACAACACATTGCAAAAAAAAAATGGATGGAAGGCAACATCTTCCTTATGAAACTAGAACACACAAGGTATATGCATACCGTTTTTTTGTTTGGCATTTCTGGGGAGGGAAGCCAGAGCCTAGTGCATGCTAAGGAAGTTCTGTCACTGAGCTACATCTCTAGCCCCTAGAATCTATTTCAAGAAGGGCCAAAAATGCCCCAGAAGTATCCACAGACACTGCCCTCCATTACTACCATCTGCTGTCACTATAGCTTGCTCTATTATATTGCTAGTGAGAATATGGCTATGCAGAATACCTGTAATCAAAATCATTCCAGCTCTGGTGGAAATGCAGGGCATAGCTAAAACAGAGCTAACTCTACCATTCTGTGTTTGTTAAAGTGACCAGCCTTGGCCAGATACCTAACAAGATCATGTGAGAGTCCAGAGACCTAGATTTGCGTTTTGTCTTCCTTCTCCTTTACCATATCCAAACTCTTTTTTTTTTTTGTGGTCAGTCATGAGACTTGAACTTGAGGCCTGGGTGCTATCTCTGAGCTCATTTGCTCAAGGTTAGGACTTTACCACTTTGAGCCATACTGTCACTTCTGGTTTTCTGGTGGTTAACTGGAGAAAAGAGTCCCATGAACTTTCTTGCCTGGGCTGGCTTTGAACCACAATCCTAGCTCTCAGCCTCCTAGGTAGCTACAACAACAAGGGTGGGCCAGCAGCACCTGGCTCACATCCAAACTCTTTACCAATGGTTTCCCTTTCTGCATTTACGAAAATGAACAGAGGGTGAAGTGGGGCTTGAAGCTCTTCCCTGCTTGAGAACATTTATGGCTGACTAAGGGTCTATGCCTCTATGGCAGATCTCTTTGAGAGCTGATGGGACAGTGGTCTAGAAAAATAAAACTGGTCTTTGGGACCAGCTGTGTGAAGAGGCATCCAGTGGATGCTGACAAACCTGCGAGGAAGGTCCCAATCTCAAAGGTCCACCACTCGATGCATAACATGAACATGCTGGGGATGGCCAGGCGGGTGTAGGAGCTCCACTCCTGGAAGCACTCTCGAGTCCAACCTGGAGAATAGGCAATAAGCAGCGCATACATTGCTCAGGACTCCCTCTAACAGCTGCTCCATTCTACATCCCACCCTTCCACTTGGCCAGAGACCAGAGTACCCCCGTCTCTAGCCAAGCATGAAGAAGTCAAAGAGATGGACATCTAGGATGACGGGTATGAACTTGGTAATGTGCAGTAAACTGAACTATGTTAGTGCCCTGTCACCCACACATGCTACTTCTAGGTGGAGATGGCAGCTCAATTAAAAAAAAAAAAGCAAGACATTAGCTTGTGACAGACTGGGGTGGGAGTGTGAGGGGTGGGAGACCAGCCCCAGGGAACCAAAGAAGTAAAATATGATAGATGCACACTATTGTATGAAAAACAGAGATAGATGATAGGCAAATAGATATAGGTTGTGTGTGTGTGTGCATGTGTGTATGTGCACACACATTTCAAAAGTAAATTGAAGGTAACAGCTTCATATATATACATACATATATATCTTCATTTATACACACATATATATGCATATACATATGTAAATGTGTGTTTATCACATGCATATGGTAAGAGAGATGTCTTTTTGAGACTCTCACCATATTGCCTAGGCTGGCCTTGAACTACTAGCCTCAAGCAATCCACTGCCTCAGCCTCCTGATTAGGACTACAGGCGTGAGTCACCACACCAGCTTTTAGACACTTTGAAATGCACTCTGTTCACACAACAACAACAACAAAAAGTCAATTAGACTACAGGAAAATGAACAATTTCCATGCATCAAAGGGTGCATTAGTAGAGGGAAAGATCACCCAAGAATGGAAGAAAATATTTGCAAAGCATATATGATAATAAAGATAATCTGGACATCATTATGTCTATAATTCATAAAAATCTTCTATAATTCGGCAATAAAAAAGAGGAACTAACCCAATTAAAAAATGGTAAACAATAGGCCTGGGAAGGTGGCTCAGTGGTAGAGTGCTTACCTCACATGCATGAGGCCCTAGGTTTGATTCCTCAGCACCACATAAGCAGAAAAAAAATGGTAAACAATTTGTGTGTGTGTCTGTCTGTCTGTCTGTCTGAGTCTGTGTCTATGTCTGTGTCTGTGTGTGCCAGGTCTGGGTACTGTCCCTCAGCTTTTTTTGTTCCAGGGTAGTACTCTACCACTTGAGTCACAGCTCCACTTCCAGCTTTTTGTGATTAATTGAGATAAGAGTCTCATGGATTTTCCTGTCATGACTGGCTTTGAACTGCAATCCTCAGATCTCAGCCTCCTGAGTGACTAGGATTACAGGCATGAGCCACTAGCACTTGGCTGGGCAAACAATTTAAATCGATATTTCTCCAAAGAATATATACAAATGGACAAGTAGATGAAAAGATGGCAATGTCACTAATCATTAGGAAAATGTAAGTTAAAACCACCTCAAACCCATTAGGATGCTTAATACTAAAAAACAAAAATAAAACCACAAAACAAATAAACCAAAACACAGAAAACAACAAAGGATATCAAGGAAGTAGACAAACTATGTACTGTTGGTGGGATTGGAATGTAAAAAGTGTCCCCACTATGGAAAAATAATTATTTAAGTTCCTCAAGAATTAACAAATAGGATCCCCTCATGATCCATCCGTTTCACTTCATAAACACAAAAATATCCCTACATTGACCATTTCACTTTCATATTTTCAGTTACTTAAGCATTTTTTAAAAAAAAATCTTAAGATTTCCCTGGAGATTAAAAACATCTGGGAAGAAAGGTCAGGAACCTAGCTCCTACTAAAGAAGAGGTAAGGAAGGTAAGGAAGCAATGCAATGTACCTCCCCAGGTGCTGATGTGGATTTTTTTCCACCACATGTAGAGGAAGAGTAGAGCAGAGAGGACGAACTGGGAGGTGGTGTTGGCCCAGGCAGACCCACTGGAGGAGAAAAGGCCATCATTACCCAGCTGATCCTTCACATTGAATCCATGGAGTGATCCAGGCAAGCCTTTGCTCACTAAGAATCCATTATAGATGAGCCTGGAGCTCCTGGGTTTTCTTTTAATGTTTTTAAATCAATCTAGCTGGGCGTCAGTAATCTTAGCTACTCAGGAGGCTGAGATCTGAGGATCATGGTTTGAAGCCAGTCTGGGGTAGGAAAATCTGTGAGACTCTTTACCAAAAAATCAGAAGTGGAGCTGTGGCTCAAGTGGTAGAGCACTAGCCTTAAGCAAAAAAAGCTCAGGAACAGCACCCAGGCCCTGAGTTCAAAGTCCCTTGACTGGCACCAAAACAAAAAACAAACAAACAAAAAACCCACATCTATTTATGAGATCTTTTCCTGAGATTGAAGTGTGTAGAAAAAATCCAATGTTCCTATTCATCAATGGGAAAACCAAAGGACGTAAAGATATATCATTTCTTAGACATTAACTAGTCTGGATGGATCAACCAGCTCCTGTGTTCAAAGTACTGCTTCCCATCATCACAGTTTTATTCCTCAGGATTATAATACATTTGTTTTTCACTAGACCAAAACTTTGGAGCCTCTTCCAGTGGGTAACATTTTATCACTACAAACAGAAAGCCTGTGCTTACAGTGAGCCAGGAACTGTCTTCTCATCTTTTCTCTCATTTCACTCTCCTAATCCAGACCTCACATTGTATCAGGTGTTAATTAATCCACTCCTGAAACTAATCAGATGGATTTTGGGTTTTGTTTGTTTTTGGTGGTTGTAGGGCTTGAACTCAGGGCCTGGGTACTGTCTCTAAGCTTTATTTGCTCAAGGCTAGCACTCTACCACATTGAACTAGAGTGCCACTTCCAGTTTTCTAGGGGTTAATTGGAGATAAGAGTCTCACAGACTTTCCTGCCCAGGCTGGCTTTGAACCATGATCCTCAGATCTCAGTCTCCTGAATAGGTAGGATTACAGGCTTGAGCTACCAGTACCCAGTTATAAATGGATTTTTATTGATGTATTCTTATATATGTGCTAATCTTCAACTATTTTTTCTTTCTTTCCTTCCTTCCTTCCTTTCTTCCTACCCTCCCTCCTTCCTTCTCTCCTTCCTCTTTCCCTACCTCCCTCCTTCCCTTCCTTTCTTCCTTTCTTTTTTCTAGTGCTGGGCATGTATCTCAGGACCTGGTGCATGCAAGAAAAGTGCCTCACCACTGAGCCCATCCCCCAGTCATTGAAATGATGGCTATGAGCAGTAATAAATGCATTCTCCACCACTAAGCAACTACCTACATTACCAAGTACACACAGCTACTACCACTCACCTGAAGCAAATCTCAAGAAACACACCTCACAGCAATTGAGGAGCCTCAGATTTTCTCCTCTATTCTCTTCTATTTGATCCATAATATTTTATTTTTTTAAGTGTTGGCCATGATCTAGTAAAGCAGATTTTGTCAATAAAGGGCCACACATTGTCCTGAAACATCCCAAGATTGGTAGGGCTCTGTCTGCATGGTGCTGACATGATCTCTGTCTGGCCACATGTGTGAAGGCTGGCTTGGGACAGAGGGCCCAGAGCTATCCTCTGGTGAGGACTGAACCAGCAGGACACAGGAACTCCTACTGAGGGAGGTTCAAACTTCTCTCTTTCTTGGTGGAACACTGTCCCTTCAGGTTTCATAAGATGGAATTTGCTCTGTTGCTTACAATTTAGATCCTGGGAGAATCCTGCCAGGCATCTGCCCACGGTTACTTCTATTTGGGGGGCTCACAGTGAGCCTCCACTGCCCATGGCAACCTGCCTCCCCAGGCTAACTCCAAATCCAGATGTGAGCCAATACTCTGCTTCCTCTAAATCTCTGTCCCTATCTCTCCACCTAACTTCTATCCCCAACCATCCGCTAGCCTGAGCTGGCTACACCTCCTCCTCTGTACGCATCCACAGCAGCTACCTCTTATCTGCTATGCCGAGTACCCAAATATCAACTTGTAAGTGCCTGCTTGCCCATCTGCATGCCCTGTATCACTTTTGGTTTTTCAGCCCCTAGGTCAGGGCCCACACACCTAGCACACAGACACCTTCTGTGTGTGACTTACACCACTCCAAGGTCCAGGGCATAGAGCAGGAGGGCATTCATGCACACGTTAACGACGTTTGCTGCAATCCCAGTAACAACTTGAGGCATAATGACGCCCTAAAATCTCCAAACAAAGAGGAAAGTATGAGCATTTCCACAAGAGAGTTGGCTAGGCTGTCAAGTGAATATCCACAACTAAATGGAACAATTTTTCTTTTCATTTCTTTTCTTTTTTGTCAGTTGTAGGACCTGGACTCAGGGCATGGGTGTTGTCCCTGAGATTTTTCCGTTGAAGGCTAGCACTCTACCACTTTTGAGCCACAGCTCCACTTCCGGTTTCCTGGTGGTTAACTGGAGGTAAGCGTCTCGTGGACTTTCCTGCCTGGGTTGGCTTTGAACACAATCCTCATATCTCAGCCTCCTCAGAAGTTAGGATCATAGGTGTGAGCCACCAGCACCACACTTAAAAAGGATGATTTTTTTCACATTTTATTATTATTATATCTTTAAGTAGTTGTACAAAGAAGTTCCCATTCTACGAAACAGTATATGAGCACAAGGTGTCTAACTCAGAATGGGATGATTTTTAAGGAGGGCAAAGTCACACAATATTGGAGAAACCAAAAGAACCAGATACGTCTCTTTCATTTGGATGGCTTCAGCCAAGCCAAGCTTCTGTAGGCTCTGGTAGGTCAGATACCCTGACAGCAGCAGAGAAAGAAAAGGGGGAGGGAGGGATTACTTGAAGAACAAAACAGGCACCACAGATGGGGGTTTGGGGAGGCCTGATTGGGGGGATACTGGGGTCATGCTGCTTGGCTTCTCTAGGTGCTCCTTTGTAACATGGGTATGTGAAATGTCAGCCCACTAGCTCATTTCCTTTGTGTGATGTGAAATGTCAGCCCACTAGCTCATTTCCTTTGTGTATGAACTCAGATAAACATTTTCTTTAGGTAAAACTTACTTTTTCTCCCTGCATTTAAACAGTTGACTGCTATCAAAGCACAGTGGACTCATTTGGGCTTCAGCAGACAGTGGCCTCTGTGTTTAAAGGTAGCACACTGCTTGCCTAAGGATAAGCTAGGAGCCCTCACTGGGTAGGCTCAGCCTCTGCCTACCCACCTCTGTCTGGCCAACTTCTTCCCTTTCCTTCTGAATCTGGTGTGAGGTTGGCCCCACACACTCACAGATGTGGCTATAGTAACTCTGGGCCCTCATCTTCTAAATCAGGAGCAAGAACAGGTCCAAGGCCAAGTGCAGAGCCAGCTGCCAATGCTAAGGGGGTTGGGGGGGATGGGGAATGCTGAGGGAAATATGGGACAACCAAGAGGAATCAGATGGACTCGGACCCTGGCTGAATGATATACAGACACAAGGCTCTACAATGAACTTGGGGAGGTTTAAGCATGGATTATTGGGCAAAAAAAAAAGTAAAGTATGCATTGTGTGTGTGCATACACATATGTGCATATACCTACCATGGGGCTTGAACTCAGGGCCTGAGCACCGTCCCTCAGCTTTATTGCTCAAGGCTAGCACTCTACCACTTGAGCCACAGCTTTACTTCCTACTCTTTTGGTAGTTTATTGGAGTGAAATGTCTCATGGACTTTTTTGCCCAGGTTGGCTTTGAACAACGATCCTTAGATCTTAGTATCCTGAGTAGTTAAGATTACAGGAGTGAGCTACTGGCACCTGGTTGTATGCATTGCTTTGTGTAGAAAGTCCTTGTAAAGGGGACAAGAAGAAAATAGGAGACAATACCTTCAAAATGTTTACCATACATTTCCAGGAGAATGGAGCAAAAATATAAAAAGATTACCTGACTCTGCAAGTATCTTGTCTGCAGCTGGAACAGGAATGCTGCCTAGAGAGTAAGCAGAAAATAACAACTTTATTTCATTCCTGCCTTGTTGCTGCTATTGTTTCATGGTGATATGGATCAAACCCAGGGCCTGGTATATGCAAGGTAAATGCTTTATAAATGAGCCCCCATCACAGTCCCTGGAGACACTGTGTATGTTTGTGTGTGTCTGGTGTGTGTGTGTGTGTGTCTGTGTTTGTGTGCACACATGTCATTCCTGGAGCTTGAACTCAGGGCCTAGATGCTGTCCCTAGGCTTTTTTTTTTGCTCAAGACTGGTACTCGGCCACATGAGCCACAGCTCTCCTTGTGGCTTTTTTGGCAGTTAATTGAAGATAAGAGTCTCACACACTTTACTACCAGGTCCAGCTTTGAACCATGATCCTCGATTCTTAGCCTCCTGGGTAGCTAGGATTACAGGCATAAGCCACCAATACATGTCTATCAGTAGATACTTTTTAATAAGGTATTTTGCAAAGAATATTAGTTCTAGGTGCCCATGGCTCCTGACTGCAATCCTAGCTACTCGGAAGGTTAAACTCAGAAAGATTGTGGTTTGAGGCCCAAGAACCACATTTCAATGATTAAAAAATTGAACATAGTAGTATTGGAGGAACAAAGTTCAGATGGCCCTACCTCAAAAACAACCAGAGCAAAATGGGCTTGTCTAGCAAGCACACAAAGCCCATGTTTAGTACCCAGTAATACACACACACGCACACCTCTATTAGTAATATAACTGGGGTTTTTTTGGGGGGGGCGGTCAACTGTGGATTGACCTATGGGCTTGGGTGCTATCTCTAAGCTTTTTTGCTCAAAGCTAATACTCTATTACTTGAGCCACAGTTCCACTTCCAGCTTTTTGGTAATTAATCGGTGATAAGAGTCTCAGAGACTTTCCTGCCTGGGCTGGCTTTTGACTGTAATTCTCAGATCTCAGTTTCTTAAGTAGCTAGGATTAGAGGCTTGAGCTACTGATACCCAGCCAAACTTCGAAACTAATACATTCAAATTCAGAAAACTAGATCCACCATAAACAGAGTTACAGATTTACTCCCTAAGAAACAGACATAGGCAAGTTCTCACTGGCTGAAACAAAAGCCATGGTCTGGTCATTCTGGATGGCTCTGAGGGGTACCTAGTAATTATTCTGATGAATGTGCATTCAAAAGTAACCTTGAGCTGGGTGCTAGTGACTCATGCCTGTAATGCTACTTAGGAAGCTGATATCTGGAAGATCACAATTCAAAGCTAGCCTAGGAGAAAAATTCCATGAGACTCAAAAGTTTAATAACAAAAGAATGAATAGCCCAGTTTACAAATGGGAAAGAATGCAAATCAAAAATGACTCTGAGGCCGGGCGCTGGTGGCTCACGCCTGTAATCCTAGCTACTCAGGAGGCTGAGATCTGAGGATCACGGTTCAAAGCCAGCCCGGGCAGGAAAGACCGTGAGACTCCTATCTCCAATAAACCACCAGAAAAAAAAAAAACTGGAAGTGGCGCTGTAGCTCAAGTGGTAGAGTGCTTGCCTTGAGCTGAAGAGCTGAGGGACAGCGCCCAGGCCCAGAGTTCAAGCCCCACGACCGACAAAAAAAAAAGACTCTGAGATTCCATAAGAGAGAGAACAAAAACAACAAATGTTGGTAAGGACCCTGGGGAAATGCAACCCACATCTACCATTGGTGGGAATCAATTTGGAAGTTTGGAAGTTCCTCAAAACATTAAAAATAAACTGATCTTAAAAATAAAATGATCCGCCGGGCGCTGGTGGCTCACGCCTGTAATCCTAGTTACTCAGGAGGCTGAGATCTGAGGATCGTGGTTCAAAGCCAGCCCAGGCACGTAAGACCGTGAGACTCCTATCTCCAATAAACCACCAGAAAAAAAAAAAACTGGAAGTGGCGCTGTAGCTCAAGTGGTAGAGCGCTCGCCGTGAGCTGAAGAGCTGAGAGACAGCACTCAGGCCTAGAGTTCAAGCCCCACGACCGACAAAAAAAATAAAATAAAATAAAATAAAATGATCCAAGTGAGGCACTGGTGGCTCATCCCTATAATCCTAGCTACTCAGGAGGCTGAGATCTGAGCACTGAGTTTCAAAGCCAGCCCAGGCAAGAAAGACTGTGAGACTCTTACGTCCAATTAACCACCAGAAAAAACAAACAAACAAACAAAACTGAAGTGGTACTGTGGCTAGCCTTGAATGAAATTGCTCAGGGAGAGTGCCTGGGCCCCAAGTTCAAGCCCCACAACTGACAAAAATAAAAATAAAATGATTAGTTACATCACTCCTATATATGTATCTATAGAGGAATTAAAGTCAGCATGCATGGAGACACCTGCACCCATGTTTACAGCAGCACTATTTCCAATAGCCAAGGTATGGAAGCAGCCCGGCGCCTATCATGGAGGACTGGATAAAGAAAATGTGGCGTGTGTGCATGCACACGCGTGCGCACATGCACACACACACACACACTGGGGTATTATTCAGCCATAAAGAACAAAATCATACCATTTGCAAAAAAATGAATGGGACTAGAGATGTTGAGTGAAATAAGCTAGATTCATATAGAAAAAAATCACGTGGGCTGGGAAGTTGGCTCGGTGGTAGAGCACTTGCCTTGCATGCATGAGGCCCTGGGTTCGATTCCTCAGCACCACATACGCAGAAAAAAAAAAGCTGGAAGTGATGCTGTGGCTCAAGTGGTAGAGTGCTAGCCTTGGGCTGAAGAGCTGAGGGACAGTGCCCAGGCCCAGAGTTCAGGTCTCATGACCAGACCAAAAAAAAAAAATCACGTTTGTTTTTCTGATGTGAAATACAGAAAGAAAAAAATAGAATGAAAAGTAACAGTTAAGGAATAAAAAGGGAGAAGGGAAGAGAGGGAATAAGAGAGAAATATGATCAAATATTTCAAAAGAAATTATTTTTGAAAATTTATATATACTTAATAAAGAGAAAAACAACAGTCTTAAAACTTACGGGCAGAGCTGGAATGAAAACCATCACATAAACTTGGGCTATCCTGAAATAAACAACAAAATGGTCTTCAGTTAATAATGAAATAGTATCTGGTCAGACTCTCTTCAAGTTGAACAGAGTAGGTCCTAAAAATTAAAACTAAAAACAAATTCTGTGGGAGAAACTGATTCACAACTTTGGTTTTCTGCCCAATGTGAGCTCTGTGAAATGTCTACTATCTAAGGGGAAGCCGTACAACTTGACATTTTTCAGGTCCCTCTTGGCCTAAAAGCTAAATGAGCGCGCGCGCACACACACAACACACACACAGAACTAAAACTTGAGCACAATTCAGAAACCTTCTGAAATCTCCAGAACTACTTCACAGTGAGTAAGAATCTTCTAGAAAGGACCACATAGTCGCAGTATCAGCTCCTGAGCCTGTGCTGTGGCCCTGGCTGGTCAGTGTAGGAACCTTCTCAATAAAGTTGCTTCTTTAATAACAACAACAAAAAAAAGGACCACATATCCTAGGGGCAACACAAAAGATCATACTGGAACTGTAGGTCTAAAAAAAGCAAACGAAATAATCCAAGCCAAGTGTAGTACCTCACACCTATCATCCCAGCCACTTGGGAGGCAGAGACTGAAAAAGGATCATGGTTCAAGGCCAGCCCCAGCAGGAGGTTGGGGAGACACTATCTCAACCAATAAGCTAGACATGGTGGTACATGCCTGTCATACCAGCTTCCTGGGGGGCATAAATAGGAGGGTTGCAATTCCAGAGTAAAAGTGAGATCCTATCTGAAAAGTAACTAAAAAATAACTAAATAACTGAAAAATAACTAAATTGAAAAAAAGGGCTGGGGCCATGGCTCAGGTAGCAGAGTACCTGCCTAGCAAAAAGTACAAGGCCCTTAGTTTAAATCCCAGTGCCACAAGAAAGGAAGAAAGAAATTAAGGAAGGAAGGAAGGAAGGAAGGAAGGAAGGAAGGAAGGAGGGAGGGAGGGAGGGAGGGAGAGAAGGAGGAGAGGGAGAGAGAGGAAGGAAAGAAGGAAGGAAGGAAGGAAGGAAGGCAGGCAGGCAGGGAGAGAGGGAAGAAAGGAGGGAGGGAGAGAGGGAGGAAGGGAAGGGGAAGAAAGAACCCAAAACTCCAATAACAACTCCAAAAACAAAGGTAAAGACCATTGTATTGGTATTCTACTCTGTAGGGAAATATGGAATAATAACATAAAAGAAGGATGGGGCCAAGAACACATTATCCTGGGTCAGGTCCCTGCGGCTGGGGTCTAGGACCACAGTCACAGCTTCCATTTGCGAGGGTTTGAGTCCAGCTAATGAGCCGCACATGGCAGCACAGGCATACTAGCCGACGTCTCCTTACTCTGAACCCACAACCATGAGTTGGTAGTACACCTGACCTGGCGACTTCAGGGTCTTGCTGTAGGAGCAGGAGGAGGCGCTCAGTGTTGATAAAGATGGCCCAGCAAGGGAAGCAGCACAACAGCAAGATGAGGATTCCTCTCTGCAGTATGATGCCCACGCGTTTCAGGTTCCTGCCCCCAAAGGACTTGGGAAACAAATGGGCAGAGACAGAATGCCATGGTTTGTCAGCAGCCCAAGGCTCGGAGCAGCCACTTCCTGTAGCCCAGCTGTGGCTCTGGCAGCCAGGCCTCCGGCAGCCAGCAGTGCAGGTGAGCTGCAAGCCCATGGGTAGCCAGGGAGCTAGTTGCCACCATGGCATTCTACCCATCCTAAGCAATTGGTCCTGCTTTTGGGAACTAAGGCAGTTAACCAGGAGTCTTGGAAACTGTGAGACAGGGGTTGAAACTTCAGGAGATGGTGACTGCGATACAAGGTAAGGGAGGGAGGAGCCCAAGGCCAGCCAAACCTTGGGAGTGAGGAGGGCAGAAGAGGAAAAATACACACATTATTGGGAAAACCAAGTGGGCTTACCCAATGATTTTACCATGAGGCCCCTGAAAGAGGTCACCCCATGAGTGATGGGGGCTGAGTTCAGAGTGGAAGTCAGGACAAAGAAATCTTTGAGAAGTTTCAGGAAGAGTACAGATAGGGAAGAAGAAGGGAAATATGGCCCTGAGCAGATGAGGCTGAGGACAGAACTAGCTGTTACACAATCATGATGATCATTGGTGCCACAAATACCATTACCATTGGTTTCGACTGAGCTCCTGTATCAGCCCCAGCAGACCCAACCACATGGAACCAAAATGGCATCCCTTATGCTAAATGCCTTCTTATCAAACTGAATCTTTAAGGATGTGATAGATCCCTCAACAGATCCATTTTTCCTGAAAAGAAAAGATCGAGCTAGCCTTCTTAAGTCTGAATTATAATAATAGTAAATAATAATAATAAGCCCCTCTGCTTTTACTCAGTCCAAAAAAGCCACACAAAGCTGTGTGATATAAAATTTTTCCTACTTCTCTTTCTTTGTTCCTTCCATGGCAAATGGAAGCTCTCACTCTGTGCTGCAGATGGAGCTGCTTCTATTGTGGAATCACAAATAAAGCTGGGATCGGGATCTAGAACTATGTTGCTGTGGTTTTGTCCTGTGACACAGGAGAGCTACCTGCTCTGTACAGATATTCCCCTGGCAGCACTGCATTTGCCATGTTGACACAGAGTGGACACTTCTAACATGAAGGGTAACTGACTCCAAGGCTACATGGGTAACAAGGTCCTCACCTGAGACATCAGTGTGTCACAAGCTGAGGCTAAGCCAGTTCCGACTGAGATCCCAGTAACATTCACCACCTGCAAGAAACAATGGATGCCACAAATACCATCACCATCAAACAGCTCACTTTATACCAAAGGACCTCATCTTTAAATTTCAGACTCAGTATTTCAGATCAAGTGGGATCCTTGCCAACTATGAAACAAGAACAAGAATATACTTTTTTTTTTTTCTTGTCGGTTGTGGGCTTGAACTCTGGTCCTGGGTGCTGTACCTCAGCTCTTCAGCTCAAGGCTAACACTCTACCACTTGAGCCACTGAACCACTTCCAGTTTTCTGGTGGTTAATTGGAGATCAGAGTCTCACAGCCTTTCCTGCCTGGGTTGGCTTTGAACCACTATCCTCAGATCTCAGCCTCCTGAGTAACTAGGATTATAGGTGTGAGCCACTGGCACCAGCTAAGAACATACTTCTAATCAAAGAATATACTTTTAACTCTGTGCCAACTGGGGAAACCCCAAACTGAATTTTTCTTCATGCAGTGTGTTATTATCTCTGTATTTAAAACCAGGCACCGCGATGTATACCTGTAATCCCAGATACTCAGGTGGCCAGGTGATCTGATGCCAGCCTCTATGTCTAAAGACCATGTACCCAAGCCAGCTAATGCCTGTAATCCTAGCTACTCAGGAGGCTGAGATCTGAGGATCATGGTTCAAAGCCAGCCTGGGCAGAAAAGTCTGTGAGAACTCTGATCTCCAATAAACCACTAGAAAACCGGAAGTGGTACTGTGGCTCAAGAGATAGAGCACTCGCCTTGAGCTGATGAGCTCAGGGATAGCATCCAGGCCCAGAGTTCAAGCCACAGGAGCAACAACAACAACAACAAAAAGACCATGCACCCAATCATGTGTCACCTGTATGAGAATCTACTCAGAAAATTCTCTATGCCCCCTGTGCCTAAAGTTTGTCTGATCCTTGAATAACTAGTTAAGCAAAAGCCCAAGCTTCGCTTTAGATTTGAACAGCAAAGCAGCCTAATTGGTACTGACCCCACTGGGTTCCCATGTCTCCACCCATGTCCCTCAGTCCAGCTCTACCAGCTAGTTGTGCATTCTTCCACAGTGAATGCACTTGTGTGAACCACTTCAAACTCTGTATACAGAAAATTGTCTTTTCCATTAAATAAGACAAACACGTATAAATCCTTCCATATTATATACAAATATAAAATCAAGATTTTATTTTTGTAGTGTTGATGATTAAACCCAGAACTTTACCTATTTTTGGCAACAACCCAGCTCTGGCCCAGTGTAGAAATGCACACCTGCAATCCTAGCACTTGGGAGGTTGAAGCAAGAAGATCATGAGTTCAAGGCCACCCTGAACTACAGAGCAGCTTTGTCTTTCAAAAAAAATTTTAATCAAAAAGTTCAAATGAATGTTATCTGGCTATGGTGTAAACAAGTCTATTATCTTCCCAAAAGTTAGTTACAGTTTAAATCTAAAAAGCAAAGCAAAGTTTCACCACCCACTGACTAAGGACAACAGCAGAGCTCCCTAAAAGCTTATCTGGGGCTACTCCTGCCTGTGGAGCTCACCTTCCCACACACCATCCTCATGCCTTTCCACAATGATGGATTGTATTTCCTTTATTCCTGCCACTTTTAACAGTCCAAACCAGGAATCTTCCTGACTTCTTATCTTTGGAGGTTTGCAGGATAAACGGAAAGAGGGAAGAAATCTAACATCATTTTTCCCTCCCTCCCTTCCTTCTTTCCTCCCTCTCCTTCCCTCTCCCTCCCTCTCCCCAATCTCTCTTTTTCTTCCTTTTTTTTGGGGGGTATTGTGATTTGAACTGAGGGCCTTGTGATTGCTAGATAGATGCTGTACTACTGAGCCATGACCCCAGTCCCAAAACCTTAATTCAGTTTTTTTCCTCCCTCAAAATATGCTTGGAAATATTTCAATGAAACAAATTATAGAGCAGGAGTCTCCGTGATACAGAGCAGAAAAGCTGGCATGGTTGGGGCAGAAGGAAAAGCAGCTGACAGTGAGCTGGCTGGGAGCTGTACAGGGACACCTGTACCATGTGTCTCTCTGAACTATTGGGCCAGGAGCCAAGCCTGAAAAAAGTGAACTTGAGATTTTGGAGGAGAAAGAGAACCATAACAACAGATAAACATCAGCACAAAGTGATCAGAGCCAAGACCCAGGAGCCACAGGGCCTGGGGACCTAGTGAGGGGGAGGCAGAGAGGTTGAGAGCCACCCAGGAAGTGGTGTGGGAAGATGAAGAAAGGGAGGGATTCTGGAATGTGGGAGATAAAGTGAGCAGAACTTGCTGACTGATTGACCCTCAGGATATAAAAACTAAAAAAGTGGACTGGGGATGTTGTTTAATGGTAGAATGCCAGAATGAGGCCTAGTTTATACCAGACACACACACACACACACACACACACACACACACACACACACACATCTAGGGAGTATAGGAAGTACTTTCAAACACTCTGGGTTGGATGAGTCCCTGCAGCTTTCAGATGGTCCACACTACAGTCATCTGAGCCTGAAGCCCAGATTATGGGCGATAATACTTAATTGGGAGACACCAGTAAATAGGAGATACAGAAAGTAGAGCTGGGCATGGTGACTCATGGCTGTAATCCTAACAACTCAAAGATTAAAATTAGAAGGACCTAAGTTTGAGGCCAGGCTGGGTATGCCCCATCTCAATCAATTAAAAGCTGAGCGTGATGACATTTGCCTGTCATTCCAGTTATGTGAGAATCATGTAACTGGCATCGTTACAACGCAAGACCCATGAATTCAAAGATTAGTGAGAGTGGAAAAGGCTAGAGGAGTGGTTCAAGTGATAGAGCACCTGTCTAGCACATTCAAGTCCCTGAATGCAAATCCCAGTACTGCCCCCAAACAACAACAACTACTACTACTTGAAAGAGGAAAGAAGGGAGAAAAGAGAGATGCAACTATCAGGGAAGTCAGTATGAAATACCACAGTAGGTTCCTAATACTGGGCCACAGGTTAAGGTCACAGCAAGCCAGCAGGAAGATGTCACTGGCAACTGGTGGCCAGAGAAGGTTCAGTGAAAGGTGAGATAGAGAACAGACTGTGATTGGAGAAAAGGAAAGGAGGCAGAATGTGGACTCTGAAAAAAAGAAACAGCAGAGGGAAGCTGGACAGGGGGATGGGTGGGGAGGAGATAGTGGACGGGGATAATTTTCATGGAAGACACTTGGGAGGTTTATCATAATAGACTGGAAGCACATAAAGGGGAAGGGGTTGAAGGAGGAAGGAAGGTCCCAGAGCATAGTAGAAGGTAGGGGCATAGGTAACAAAAGCTCTGGGAGGGGAAGGGGAGTTTAAGCTGTCTGTTTGGCCTAGGGTGCCAAGCAGGGAGTCAAGTGGGACACAGGTGGGAGAGAAGATGAAGGGGTCCTGACAAGAACAACTCCAGGAGGTCAACTGTTAAGATAGTTGAAAGACTGAAAAGTTGACAGGAAAGGAAACATTTCTGCTGGGAATCTACATGAAAAATTGGAATGTACGGATGGGGAAAGGGAAGTGGACTCTGAGGGAGATGGAGGGAGGTAGAGCCTTCCCTGGTTTGAGAGAGCCTGGGAGAGGAAAGGAAGACACCCAGGCTGAGGCCAATGATTGGCCAGGAGATGTGACCAACAAGAAAGAAGATGTAACTGTGCCAGGCACCTTGAGGAGCTGCCCAGAAATGAGCCCTGGGAAGCAGTGCCAGGAAAATAGCCAGCCTTGACCGGGCCTCTGATTGTCTCCTGTTAATTATGCTCATTTACATCCCACAGGAACTAGAATACAGCACGGGCAAAGGCTCTGAGGTCTGATGTCAAGCAGGGGACATCTACTCCTGGACACTGGGACAGCCCTTCTTGACTTGCTAGAAGCCCAATCTAAACTTTCTAAAAGAAGCAGAAATGTCCCCAGTCCCCTAATTAGTACAGTAATTGGTCCTTATATGAAATGTGATTCCATACAGCCTGAGGCCTCCTCTACTAAAGAGAAGACTAATGAGAAACTTTCATGGCCTTCTGTGATCTTACTGGTATCCCTACCTCCTGGGGGCGGGGGAAGGGCAGAAAAGACATTTTCTAAGACTGGAGGGAGAGACCTGCCATCATCAGCAGGAGGAGTCTTTTTTTTTTTTTCTCCATTTTGTTTGGAAGCCTGGATTAAACACAAGACACACAAGCTGTCCACTGCATCACTAACAAGGAGAGACTTCACAGGTGTAATTCTCACCCGCACTAGAAAAGAGACACCTTTTACAAGGTGAAATAGTGTGGCCTTAATGAAGTGTGTAACTCGGTTAATGGCTTTGTTGGTTTCCTTTCATAACAGGGGAAAAAATGGAGTTCTGGTTTTCGTAGAGATGCACAAGACCTGGTGCCTCTGGAAGGAGAGGTCTGCACGCGTGCTGTGGGGACGTAGGGGCCTGGATCTTCTTGCAAATGCTTGCCTGGCAGGCACGAGGCCCCCCTTGGCTTCACCACCAACATCAGAACTGAGTTCTGGAAAGTTCTGAGGCTCTGTCCCGGGCTCAGACACCTACCGATACAGCCAGAGTCACGGCGTCCAGCTCCACCTTGCCCAGGTGTCCGCAGAATATCGAGCTGACGATGCTGATGAGAAAGAGCATCAGCTGGGCCAGGAACTGCGGAAGGGCCAGAAAGGAAAGCGGGGTCACCCTTCCCGTCCCCCCCCCCCGACTCCCGCCCATCATCACCAAGTGAGACCGCGACGGGAAGGGGTGCTCGGGGCTGGGCGTGGGGGAGAAACCGCCCCCCCACCCCCTCCGGCCGCCCAGCTCACCACGGGGCCCGCGAGCGCCGTCAGCTCCGCCGCCTCCCGCAGCACTGCGGGGGACAGCGCGCCCCGCAAGCCCCGCAAGCCGCCGGGCCACCGGGGGATATCAGGCCGCCGCTCGGGGCTCAGGGTGATGGTGGCCAAGTCCAGCCTGTCGGGGGCGCCCTCCAAGGGCTCGACGACCGCGGGGGGCTCCATGCCGGCGTCCGGAGAGATCCAAGCCAGCCCGTGGGGCGCCCTGAGGGAGGTGGAGACCGAGACGACCCCGCCCCGCCGGCCAATGCCCCTCTGTGGGGCGCGGGTACCTCAGCGACCTGGCCCGGGCCGACCCGTCCTGGCCACGCCCCGGCCACGCCCCCGGCCACGCCCACGCGCGGGCCCCTTGTCCAACCAGCAATGCCCGCAGAACCCCGGGGAGGGTCGGGCCTGGGGAAGCCCCCCTCCCACTCCTACACACACACACACACACACACACACCCATGGGGAAGCCCCCCTCCCACTCCTACACACCCACACCCACACCTCCCACTCCTACACACACACACACACACACACACACCCATGGGGAAGCCCCGCTCCCACTCCTACACATACACACACACACCTCCCACTCCTACACACACACACACCCATGGGGAAGCCCCCCTCCCACTCCTACACACACACACACACACACACACACACACAC